AGATTCAGACAAGTCATCAAGGTTGATTCCGGTACAGCTGCAATACGATGTGACATCCAAATCGAAATGTTTGCGCGCCGGTAACATTCTAGGCACCGATGAATTGGTCGAGATATGCTAGCGGTCAGAACGAGTGACCAGGAGGAAATAAATAGTAACACACGACAGACTGCATGGTGGTTCCCCATATTTGTTAATTCTCGCTCACCTCGGACAAGAGACCATTGGACCAGCTCTGGTTTACCTTCCGACACGGATAGCCTGCAGTTAAGATAGGAGATGGCATTGTTAGCACACACCAACGATTAGTCATCACTGTTTCATTGTGCTTCTTCGTTAAAGTGAGCACGGCTGTAACACGTTCTCTCACCGCGGAATAGCGTTGGACTTAATCATACCATTTCCCTACGAACTTGTAAAGTCGCCTACTCACGATTCGTCATCTTCTTTGTGTCATCCTTATTCCATCGTTAATGTTAGTCTCGTTTTGATACAGTTGCTATCTAGAATGCTTAACTACCGACTTAGCGCAATGCAGTATTATCATTGCACCTGTCTAAGAGGCACCTACTAGAAGTTGAATTAGACATGGCTAATCTTCTGGGTAGACTACGAAGAATATAATGCCAACGGTAATGGTACGTCAGTGTCTTAGTAGGTTACATCGGAAAGCAGTCGGCGCATAGCGACAATTGTTTCGTTTAGGACCACCGAATGGCTGCACCCGAGACGTACGCTGCAGATCGTTACCAAATAGTTTATGGCCACAGCAAAGTACACAGTGGTAAGTACGAACTATTGAGTACTTTTATGTCAGTTATGCTACGTCTTGGACATTTGCAAAACAGTGCGAACACTGTTTTTATAGCCGCATGTTTGCCAGTGGGCAGCGGGACTTAGTTGATGTAGTACTGTGGTTGTTGTCGTGCCAACGAGGCCGTAAGCGGCGAGTAGATGGTATTGCCACCTGTTAAAGCTTATGGTTGCGCAAAAACCGTTCTTTGTGAATACGCACGTACATCGCGCAGCAGATGACCAAACAGATCAGGCGACACGGAGAGCCTGAAGTGAACACCCAGTCGCATTCGCAAGCTATGCAATCTCCTCCAGCAGCTACGCAAACCAGACTGTACATGGAGGAGGGGAAATCTAAGTACACAATTTTACTGTACCACTTGTTTATTACTCATTCTACCTGGTAATCGTACTGATGGCAGTTGCTTTACTATTCCTATGTCGGTTTATTGCAAATATGGATGCCCAAGATTTGAGGCAGTCGGATGTATTCACGTCTAAATGTTAACAAAAACACCAACCGTTCGTATTGGGCACATATTCTCATGCGTGCGAAAAAGCAGGTTAGCCTTACCTACTAGCACGTTCGCAGTACCAGTTGGTACATGAGGTTTACTGCGTCTCTATACAGTTTGTGGTAGTTTATAGTTTGGACAAACGCGTGTACATATGTTGCATTCGAAAGGCCATTGGCAATGGGTGACGCCAATGCATGTCTATATGTACACCGAATGAAATCCGACAAGGATACTCAGAGAACTTTTGTACGGTCAACTTAGTGCAGAGAAGCTGCACAGAAAAAAAACAGTATAACAGTATCAGGACATGAACAAGCTGAGTTTATGAAGAATTAAGGTTGGATCAGGTGTTACGAATCAAAGGCAGAGTTGATCGGTGCAAATTCCGTGATCTGATCCAGAGAGCGGTTGGCCAGGTGCAGGCGAAGGCACTATTTCAAGTAGAGCAGAAGCACAATGCGTCCGTTCTCATTCGATTTACTAATCCAGGCCAATAAGGCGGCGTATGTGGTACGTTTGCCTGCGTGATGAGTATGCTTGCATTACAGCAGTCAGATATTACTTGAGCTCCCCGGTGCGGCAGCGCCTGATGTGAATGTTGACAAGGTGCCTACCAGTCTAGTACCCACCACCTCGTCTATACTGTCTCCAGGAAACAGTTGGTCGTTGCTGGAGGGGACGGAACTTACCATCCTTGTGACGGTGCTCCAAAAGTGGTGCCGGACATCTTGTGTGGAACGGGCTACGACCCAGCCGACTCCTTGTGTAATTCTGGTGTGCATGTTTTCCCAATTAGGTCGGAATGTTTCGGTTCTGCTTGTTGATGGAGTGCGGGCCGGCGCCGTTGATGGCTTCCATCCACATGCCCCCGGTCTTTTTCCCTTGGGTTCACACTGGATTGGGGGTGTGTAGGTGGAACTGTGGGTGGTGCCGTACAAGCCACCCAAGGTCTCTCTGTAGGCGCAGGCGTCCTGTGGCTGTCCCCATGGAGGCCCCAGTGACAGGCAAATCCAGATACGGATGCCGCCAATCCATCCATGCATACAAAATACTGGCATTGTTTATTTTACCACTTACTTTGAAAAAATGAAATAATGTGACATCTAACCTTAAAAGCAAACCTCATCTC